GGGACTATGGATCGGATAATGTAAATTTTGATTTAACAATTTTGCCCTTAAAAAATGATCATGTGCAAGGTACGTGGTGGATTCCGACAAAAAACTAGTCGGAAACCTAAATAGAGACCAAATTTGACTAATGTGAATTTGTAAGGGACGTAAAAGTACACTTTTAAAAGTGAGGAACGAAAAAAGTCATTTTACAAAATGTGATGGACGTTTTGAACGATTTTCCCTTTACAAAAAGTTAAAATAAATGGGTTATAAATCGGTAATTGGGTTATCCAATTCATTTTTTGACTTACCCATTTATACCTATCTAATTAAATGGGTATAAATGGATTGACTCACTTATACCCATTTCCCATTTTACCCAATCCAAACCCGCCCAACTCACCCATTTTGACACCTCTAGTTATAAGGGTGCGTTTGATAAAACTGAAAACTGAAACTTGAAATCTGAAATCTGAAGTTTGAATCTATTAAGTTATTGGATTGTTAAATATTAAATATAATATATTTAAGTGCATATTACATTTAGTGACAAGTGAATAGTTTATTACTTAATTTTGGGAATAATTTTTACCTAGAAAATTCAGTGCCACTTAATTAATTCAGATTTCAATTTTTAGTTATCAAAAGTCCTGAATATGTTAAAATCTAAATCCATTAAATTTAAGTGCTGAATTGAGTTATCAAACAGGGTCTTAATACAAGCACTTAAAATTGTAGTTTACTGATTGACCACATCAACTTAAAAAATTCCTCTATAAGATCCATAATTACTATAGAACTAATTATATATAGCAATTTAAACAGCATAAACTTAGGCGGTGTCTGGTAAGTGGATTTCATACTGAGGAATTAGTTTGAAAGTTAATGATTGTGATGCTTATAGTTTGGTTAAGGTCAATCGGAGTGAGTTAATATATATTGAGTCCACTCTATAGGTTTTGTTATTAACTATTTTTCAGTAATATTTAGTTATCCATGTATCTCATATGTTAATTAAAAATAAAAAATAAAAAGTACTAGAAGAAACAGAGAGTGGTGAAAAAATAGAAGAAAAAGAGTGAGGAAAAGGGAAAAAAAAATCATACCTGAACCATAACAACAGTCCATTGCTATTAACTAGTGAATTAAAATCACAGTGATTGTAATTGATGAATTTTCACCAAACGACTCCTTAGATTTAACCAATTAGGGATAGCAGGGGAAAGTAGTCAATTGGTAATATTGATGGCTAGAGATTTGTGGTCAATTATATGGAAGACCAAATAACAAATCAAGCAATACTTTCAGGCATTAAAAGTCTATCATACCATTTTTTTTCTTTGGACAAATTACAGGTGCTATGAATATGACGAACTATTCAGAGAAGATTTACTGTCCTGGACCTTCTGGTCCAATCTTAACCAACTTTTATTGGGCAAGATAACCAGTCCCAATTTTGACACTGTTGAGTGGTCAAAAGAGTTCTTTAATTTGAGGAGATTTTATGGACCATTCATGATACGGAATGAAGAGCCCGGGGTTCACGAACTCATCGTCTCTATCCATTGATCTGCTCAAGAACAAAAATGTAGCTTTAACGGTTACTTTATTATTTCATATTCTATTCTGATTAGAAGGTTTAGGAGTCTTTTATTAGTTAAATAGTTAAATCGTATTTCTGGCAGTGGTTGTGTTGTTTGGATTTTATACCTTGTTCCTTTGGGTGCGCCCCAAGTTAAGATTTTCTCTTCGGGAGTTGGTAGAGTATTTTCCTGGTTTCTCTACATAGAGGGTGTTCATATAAGAAAGGAGTTTTTCCTATTGATGGAGTATTCTGAAAGAAAGGAGTTGCAAAAGATATCTAATTAGTCAAACTTTTCCGCTAGTCATTTTCCTTTCAATTTCAGCAGTAAAAATTTTGCAGGAAAATTTTATGTGGCGGGTCCCATAAGTTTCCTAACAAACAAAAGTTCAAAACTTGCATGAAAGTTATTTTCCTTCACTTTTCTTCCCTTTTCTTGGCAAATGAACATGAAAGTTATTTTCCTTCACTTTTCTTCCAAACGAACAGTATCTTATTATTATTATTATTATTATTATTATTATTATTATAGCAGCCAATAACAATATATTGCACGCATAATTTGGTGCAACCATTCAAGTCGAGTGAAACTCAAACACAGGAAAAAAAAACTTGGTATGACCAATAATATTATACTGGGCGGCAATGCACAACAATTGCTACAAAAATACATGAATAGACAGCTTTGTAGACCAACGTGCTTTAAATTTTTGTGCTTTTTAAGAAGATACAACAATAATGGAATACGCACAATTACTTGAAGCACATAGTCTATATAATTAGGTTTACATAGTATTTTTAGCCGTATGTTATATACTGCCTACAAATTTGAAACCATCATTCAAAGCCTTTTTTACTCCTAACTCATGATACTTCAAGAACTCATTGGGATATCCAAAAATTACCTAATGGGCACATAACTGCGATTGGCCATAACAATATCAAGCAGAAATGTGGTAACTGTTCAACATAACTCTTTCTTATAAAGGGTTTTTCCCACTATTTTTACTTGTAAATTCACCTGTTGCTCCAGAACATGATTCAATCACCAACTGCGGCTAGTGGAAGGTTATAGAATCGAGCCTTAACTATCGAAAATATAAGACCTGCGTAAGAAAGGGTCGTCACAAATCTAACAGTTCGGTAGCCACATCAATCTCGTATTTAGTGAACTTTAGAAAAACAAATCAAGAAAAACATGATAATTAATGTGGCTGCATGGCCTAGACAAGTAGACCCAGAAACCCTGCAAAGGATGAAGTATACATAATGAAATGAAGCATAAAATTTTCAAGTCAACAAGAAGATGATGCAGTTGTAGGTCGAAAAAATGAGAGACATATTGAATTCTTCTTGCTGTTTTTCTACTTTGTAGTTTTGTAATTATTGTTCCCCTTATATTTCTCTTGGGAGCAGCAGATGTTGATGCTCATGATTGTTGTTTTCCCCAAAATTAGGCACATATGAAGCTAGCACCAGTGTATAAAATGCATAATTTTATGTGCACATTATTACATGGAAGGAAAAAGATAATGTTCGTGCAAAATAATAATTGACCTTGATTCTCATCATTTACATATTAAAAATTTTAGTAGTTAATATCTATCCCATCACTAGATTTGTACAGCGTTCTAGAGACATAGCATATAAAAATCCAGAATATCGACGACATGGTAGGTTCTTCCGGAAAGAAAGTTGGCGCTTGCTGTTATTCTTGGTTTTGACTTTTTTCTTTTGGTAAAAAAAAAAAAATTTGAATAGATTCAGCTTTGATCACTATCATGGTTCAGAGATTCAAACATATGATCTTTTATAAGGAAATCGCCTGTTTTTACCAACTAAGCCGATTTATGTTGTCGGTTTTGACTTAATTTTCTCACGTCTTTCCATGACTTAATCAGGTAAAAAAATCTAAAAGTTTAGGTAGGTAAACTATGTGAATATGTCATGCATTGACAGACGTTAATTCAAAAAAAAAAATTATATCTAAGTATATAAAAAAATAATAAGTCAAGGTTACATTGTCGGGGACTACACCACAGCTCACACTGCTGGCTATCCTTTTTTACTTCCATGTGCCGATTTATGTTGCCGGTTTTGACTTAATTTTCTCACATCTTTTCATGACTTAATCAGGTAATAAAATCTAAAAGATTAGGTAGGTAAACTATGTGAATATGTCCTTTAAAAAAAAAACTATGTGAATATGTCATGCACCGACAGATGTTAATTCAGAAAAATCTATTTATATCTAGAGCTGTTAAATGAAACGAGTAGCTCGATTGAGCTCGACTCGATAAGGCTCGAGCTCGGCTCGTTACTTGTGGTAAACGAATCGAGTTCGAGCTGAAGATATGCTCGTTTAATTAACAAGCCGAGAAAGCTCGACTCGTTTGTTATTTGAGTAGCTCGATTAGGCTCTTATAAGGAAGGTTATATATGTCATTTCACAATTCAAAAGTATAAAAATTGAAAATTATAAGTTTTTATTAGGGTTAATTTACATGAGCTCGAGCTTGAGCTCGTGCAAGCTCGACTCGTTTGTGATAAACGAGTCGAGCTCAAGCTCAAGCTCGAGCCACATGTCCATTTGGCGAGTCGAGTCCGAACACATTTCAAAATTCGTCAGTCTAGTCAAGCGAGTTCGAGCTTGGCTCGAGTTGAGCTCGAGTCGAACTCGACAACCAAATACTCGGTTTGATTAACGGCTCTAATTATAACTAAGTATATTAAAAAAAATAATCCGTTCAAGAAATTACTAAGTCAAGGTTACAATGTCACAACTCATACAGCTGGCTATCCTTTTTACTTCCATGTGTTTAAAATATAGTCTCAGTAGTTTGTGTAACAGCTACTCAGCTGAGATTCTTGAACATATCGAGTAAATATGAATTTTACCATTTGGGTTCTAAAGAACTATCAGTGCATGGATTGGCAAAAGGATGACGCCTCAAAAATAGGCATGAAAAATAGGCCTAAAGCATTTTGTCAATTTATGAGGAATATCCACAATTACTAGCTTTAATCTCTTACTCTGGCTTTATATCTTTTTTTTTTTTTCATTGTTGGTCTGGTTAGAACTTAATTCCTTCAACATTTTTTTTAATAGCCTTCTGGATCATTCTGGAAAACTAATGTAAATGATTTCATTGAAGTTTCTGTACATAAGTTAAGCTTACATTTTATAGTTATTCATAAGTTGTTCGGCTTGATCAAATTCGTAATATTATTTGGCTTCAGCTTGACTGAATGCGAGCACAAAAAATTTCTTTCAGTGTTCTTGCACGAAATAACCTAGTGCAGATTTTGCAATACCACTACAATTTTCTAAGAATTAGGTCCAACTTTAAAGCTAATAATTTCAAGCATAAGAAAGTAAAATTCAGTCCCAAAGATGTACCAGAAGCAATATATCACCAACTTAAAGGATGTGCGACTGAATGCTTAACTTGATACATAAGGAAATTGGGAGCATTTCTAAATGCTAAAACTCCTTTATTACATACATCTAAACTAGCTCTCCATAGGAGTTGTTTGATCATTCCAGATGAACTCATCTAGCTAGTCAAATGCTAGTGACAAAAACCTGGAAAGAAGCTGAAAGTACAACATAATTAAGGAAGCAGCAGTTGGATTGATTAAGACTGCTGACTAAGTAAGCTTCTAATTAGGGCTGCTTGGCTGGTGTCTGAATTTGCAAGCAATTCAGACAGCCTCTCACTCAAGTCATCAACTTCTCTGTGCAAGCTTCTGATGTAGTTGCATGTCTCCTGCAAGACCCTGGCTGCTGAAACCTGCAAGAATCGGTCGGTTTCTTTAGCCGGATACCTCATTTTACAAACATGAGATCCAGAAAGAGTAAATATGACCTCACTTTTATAATCAAAAAAAAAAAAGAAAGAAAGAAAGCCTTGAAATATTGGATGGACACCATAATCATGTTCCATATGGAATCATTTCTTAATTCGGGAAGAAATCTTTCGAATAACATCATAAGCTTGTCTATACTAAGCTCAAGTGTGCTTTAAAGAAATATTATTCTTCATCAATTTGTTATCTTTTGCGTTACTAGCATCCAAGCCAAACAAAAATGGAAAATTATGGAGATAGGCTCAGAAAAGAAATGGGGCAAGAACAGTTACCTTATCTGGGCATCTATTGCGAAGCTCAGGAAGAAGCTGCTGCAACTTAGATACAAGATCAATGATTTGATCATCAGTGATCCTTGAAGCTGCTGAATGCCTTGACCTCGACCTTCGGCTTGACATCTTTTATGGTAATGATGCTCGAAGAATTTGGGATGCTATATAGTATTGTAGCAATCTGGATTGAAAAAGACAGAATTATAGTGTTAAGGATAAGCTCAAAGGTGGAGTATTCCAATATACAAGTACAAGAGGGAGGGATGGAGAGGGAGTGTGCTAGTGCTTTACAAGAACACACAGCTAGAGCTAAGTAGAGTGATGGTGAATGGAAGAAAACTGTGGGCTGAACTTGTCTTTAAATAGGGCCGTTTTCCTGAGGAAGACGGTGGTTAAATGTGTAAAAAAATTCGAGTAGTGTCAAATAGTAAAATGTTCAAGCTTGATTTGGATTCTCAACGAATTCAAGTAGTTTCACTTGTTTAGTGTACTATATGAGTTTGATATAGGTTCCGAACCAATTCAAGCTTCACTTGTGTAATTTTCAAGTAGTTTTCAAGTCGAGCCACCTTAAATGCAGAGTAGCTTGATATTTTTACATGTAATCAATCAAATATATTAATTACTGTCGACCTAAATTTAGTCAATTCACACTAAAACTTTGCACACATTTGATTCAACAATAACGCACAAACCTATACCAAATGTTTGGATTGTAAATTATTTGAGTTAATTTTGTGAAAAAAGTACTGTAGAAATTTTTTGATATGATGTATGTGAGATAAAAAGGTGATTGAAAAATATGTTGATGATACAAGCAAATCAGTGTGTGTACATAAAGTGTAATAACTTACAATCCAAACACTACTATTGGAATATCCGTTAGATTAATTGGTTTGTTATCAAGAACTTTTTTCCTTTCCCTATAGGGGAGTTGGAGAAAAATATTCAAGTTTCTTGAGGGGCATGCTTAAATTTTTGTCCTTCTCTGTGTTCTCACCACTAGGGTTTGGACGGTGTCAAAATGAACGGTCACGCACACACTCTCACACACCACAAACATTCTCTCACACACACATACCACAGACAAACAAAGGAGAGCTAGTAGCTTCTTGTTGTTAAGCCAGCAAGTAAAGCTGTGCATGTCAGAACTATACACGGAATATCATGCTATTTTATTACAACAATCTCCATTTTCTACATTATAAAACAGAACCCTTTGATTACACCATTAACTAAGATTAAAATCACCATCGACCCTTCAAAAATATCAAATCCCCAGTTGTTTTCAGCCCTGAATCAGATGAAATCATGATCAAGAATCTCAAGAAAGTTGACTAGTCAAATTAATCTCCATATGATTAATTTCCACAACCTGGTTGTTTCCTCAAATAGAAATTAGAAAGGCACATAGAACTGACACGTAAAGGCCACAACTCACAAGTCATAACTCATAGGACAAAGAGTTACAATGCCTGCCTCTTTTTGAGCAACTCATGAAGATCTTTTCCCCTTTTTCACCATAAAGGAATAGTTTTTTTATTGCTGGATTTGAGGTCACTCTCCAGCGGTTATGGTGGAACAGAAAATTCTTATAGATATCAATATCGATACCTTATCTTCATCAGTCGTAGATTGTAGCCACACAGCTATAGGTCATCTTCTTTGACAGATTTTTTTAACTTTAAATGCTGATTTTGTCCACTACTGTGTTGCATTAACTCCAGTGGTTACTTGGCCATTTAAATAAAATTTTGGAGGATAGGTCAGTTTTAGTAATTATTATTAGAAATTAAAGTTGTGAGAGTTTGTTTCACTGAAAAGAAATTAAGTTGGTTAATGAAGGATTCTTTAGTCGATAAATAATTACTTTTTAAAGTAAAAAAAAACATATACATGAAAGTTTTTGCCTAATTCACTTAAGAGTACAACAAAATATGTCTTTTCCGTTGTCAAGTTCAAGATTTGAATTTTATCCCAATCAGTTGGAGATATGAAGAGTTTGGGGAGCGGTGGAAAGGGTTAAAAAAATTTACTAAAAAAAATACAACGAGATAAAATTGAAGGAGATTATAGGATTGCTACTTCTAAATTCCCATACGACAAGATCAGCAAGTGGATTTGATCATTTGCCAATCTTTCTCTTTTGTGGTTTAAAACAAGAAATTATGATTTAATGGTCAAAAAATTGATTATTAATTTTTTCCCCTTTCCCTTGGCTTGATTATTAGAATTATTAGATGCCGTTGACCATGGTTTACATGATAACTCTTTTTTCTTATTTGGTCTTTGTAAAATATGATGATGTTAATTTCAACAAATCATGTCAAATAGAAATTGAAATGCCACTCGCTGCATTTACAAAACAATGGCAATTCTATCACTTTTATTTCTAAGATTTAAAATTTAATTTGATAGCCATCCTTATTTTCTTAAAGAAATAAGAAAGAAAGGAAAAAAATTTTACCAAGCATGCTGAGTATTTTATCACCCCACCCCCTTTCTTCAAACCAAAAAAAAAAAAAAAAAAAAACCAACCAACCAAAAACGAAAAAAGGTTGCTTATTCAAGATACATGGGCTTCATCTAGCTGTTTATCAAACTCTTGTTAATTTAAGTTCAGAATATAAGTACCAAGACAAAGGGAATCCTATGACTTGCTCATCACCTGGTAATCTAACGAATGCAACAATGTTTCCATTCTATTTTAATTCTGACTCGTACAAAGACTGATCAAGTCTAAGTTGGCAAATTAACATGGTGTGTGTGTAAATATATATATATATATATATTCTCAAGCTCTTCATGACTCCCAACTTCTCTGATACTTTTCAGATTCATACTTGCTATGTACAACTGCCATGATGATTGGAAAGACATGATTTCTCATGAACACGTGCTTGTGAGGCATCCAATGATCGAAAGGCTTGAGATGCCTTCAACATGAAATTTCATTTAAAAATTATAATAAGTAATTCTTATGCAGAATTAAAACCTAAAAGGTTTTAATGATTTTATGCTCGTAAGTGGAATAGTTTAGCGAATATAGTCAGATGATGCTATGGATTGGTTTAGATGGTAAGACTAGTTTATCTTGCCAAAGAAAAACTCAAATTCGAGTCTCTTTGTCAGCAGTTTCTAATTAGTAAATGATTTATAAAAACTGTCGTAAAACACTATTGGCTTACCTTAAAATGATCAAACTTTCCCCTCCTTCTCAACCTTTTTTTTTTTTTACGGAAAAAAAAAGAATCAAAAGTCCATATCTCATCCTGAATCTATGGTGTTCAATTGTTACTGTTCCCTATTTCTACTTGCTCTAATGTGCAAAATAAATGCTAGTTCAAATTGTACTATGAGTGAATTTCGCATAGTTGCTCTTATTTATAGAACCATTACTATACACCGGAATTTTCGCCATTGTTTGTGAAAGAAAAACAGCTAATCTGGTCAAAATACAAATTATATTCATCCAAATTTAAAATTAAATTAAATTATATTTATCCAAAATGCAAAATACTTTTCTCCAAAAACGAATATGAGGAAAAAAAATATTGTTTCTGCATATGATAATAAAGTTTATGGTCTAAAATCTGTCTTTCTTCTTGGAACTAAAGTTCAATTGATAAATGCCTCTAATTGCACTTTCCAGCTTCTTCCACCCCTAACTTTAGTTTCCTAGCTAAATTTCAAAAAACAAATAACCAGAAAAGTAAAGCTCTTTTTTTACCCAGACCCAATGCCTATATGAATATGCCGTGCTAGTTTGAAACATCATTTACCTCAGAAACATGTTCAGGAATATTACTACAATCAACCTACTCCTATAAATTAACCGATTTCCTAAAGTTGCAGGTTGAATTTTTAATGTGTCATGAACATCTTCTCATCCGGTCTTCTTACATGGCTGTGTGTGTCGGCAAAAAAGACTAATATAAATGAAAAATCGTAGCTTTTTTTTAATCCAATTTATGCAGAATATAGATGACAGGAAAAAAAAAAAAGGAATGCTCAGCGTGCCTTTCGGAGCACATGATTTTGATCCAATAGACAGCGAGGACTGAACTCGAAGTCACGAGGAACCATTTTTTTTCTCTTCATTTTCTTCCATCAAAATCCAACGGGCTGGCTGTTTCTCTTACAATGATAATTAATTAGTCCTTTTGAGACTCCAAGAAAGATACTCAATAATCTTCTTTGCATATGCTTGGTGCTGTGGGGTGATATAATCATAAACTATTAACGTATGACATATGTCTAGTTGGTATGGTATGGTTGGTAAAATCAGTTCACCATATATAAAGAAGATTTTGGTTTAAGTTTCACTTCGATTAATCTCTTATTGAAAAGTGACTTATAAGAATCACTATAAACGGTTGAAAACATGTTTTGATGACCTATCTTGATATCGAAATTGGTAACTTTCCCCATCTCCCAAACTATTTTAGATTAAAAATACAAAGATAAAGATAAACATATGAAAGAACTTTCTTTTTTACTAATATTTTCAAAAACTTATTTTCTACAATTGAAATTAGCAATTTGTGACTCACTCCTACAAAATATGCCAGTCCAAATGTGTCACATTAATTGATAGCGTACGTGCAACTGAAACAAATAGAGCTCATAAAACTTCAAAATCCAAATTAACTTGTTTGTACATCTTTACTATACGAGTAAATTGTGGTATCCCATATCCAAATAAATGCGGTCTGAACGCAAACAAATTTAGTAAATTCAAATAAACATTCCTTTGTAAATGTATCACTATTACAATCTAGTTTGGGTATGGACACCATTATCATTTGTACATGGCCACGGTTTCAAAACTATCATTTCCTATTTAATATCTACGGTTCCGATTCTTCTAAAAGGTGAAAATTGAATCGACCTTTATAAAGACTAGGGGTGGCAATTTTCGACACGACCTGAAAACACGACACGAACCTAACACGAAATTAATGGGTTTGGATTGAGGTTTTGGGAATTCGGGTCAGAATCGGGTTGGACCCGAGGAACCCGAAAAGAAAACAGGTCGATTTCGGGTCAACCCGTGGTGACCTGATATGACCCGATATGACCCGTTTACGAATTAAAAATAATTTAATAAATATAAAAATAATTTTATCTAACTAACCTAAGTTATTCTTTTTTTCAAAGGCATTAATTACTTAATCATAAATGAATTTATTTAATTTGTGTGAAGTTGAAATTATTATATTTG